GGTCTTCAGTTGTTCCAGCCACACTATCACCTCTATTAGTTGTCCCCAACCTTCGCCGTCTCCATGTCTCGGTACCCTTCGGCATGTGCCTCGACAGCGTTTTCATGGACGCGATGGCCAGCGCCTGGCAGTTGATCGAGGATATTACATTCTACACCCCAGGCCAGAGGATGCTGAGACGCGTAGGAAGTGGAAGGAGGTGTAAAGGCCAGTCCCGCTGAAACGGTGCACCAACGTATAGGCTGCAAAATGTAGCTAGATATAGATAGAAAACTCCGAGGAGAAATCACACTAAAACCAACCAACACACACAACACACTATACACAACCAATACGATGTGCTAATAATTGAGTTCGGGTCACCCTGAAGTATACAGGTAAGATTGATCCTTCTCTCGTGTAGTTTGAACAATATCAACTCTAAGAAAGCCTTATTAGGACTTCCGCGGAGCGCAGTAGTTATAAATAACCACTAAAAGTCGACCACTCTGATACCGCGGAGGGTATTTTCGGGTGTATGGAAATATGAAAGTGTCCTCGGACTACCAACTTATGGGTCCTCGGGATCTCTGCACAATTGTACGACCGTCCTACTAAGGCGGGGAGCGATTCCAATACAAAGGCAAACTGCGACCGTCCTGCTCAACGGGGACGATTCCAACAGTCACTCGGATACGACCGCCCTGCTATATGGGAGCGATTCCAATACCCTGGCTACGACCGTCCTACTAAAGCGGGGAGCGATTCCAATAGCCGACCTTGCCACTTAACAAGGTTCTTTTAACGGTTTCTCAACTCCGCGGAGTGAAGCGAGGTGTAGAAGGCTTAAGATGAACTTAAAGCTTTTTAGAGCCAACAAATATCAAAGCTTCAATTTAATGAATCTACACAAAGAGATGTTTTATATCACAAATCTCCGCGCTGATACAGAGGACACCGAGGCCGGTTAATGGCAGGTGCCGTTCGACTACTGTCTGGGCACCTCCGCGGGCAAGGATGAACTGCTGTACTGCGGGTTTTCCGTGGGCTTTTATACTACTTTCTAAATAAATTACAAACAGCAGATGTGTAACAGGAAATAAGAGAGACTGAGTAATACGGAGCGAAATAGGAAGAAACGCGCGGCCAAGGCCTCTCTAGTTTGGTGGGTCGGCAGTCGAGAGTCATGTTGAATGACTCCGCAGACCTGCTTTGGGTATATTTGAAATTCCCGCGGAGGAGCCGAACACATTCGTGTCCATGGCCGCCCCGCGGAAGGGTACGTCCTGCGCCGGCATGGTTGATAATCCCAGCCATTGTGTCATCTCCCAGCGAGTAAGCTGGTACGGTATTTGTCCTACTGTGCCGTGTGTACAGCTCAGCTTCGGCCAACGGTGCCTGTCCGATCCCTCGGATCAGCGATCGCTGCAATGCTCTTGTTTGGTCTCCCGCGGGCGCGTCGCGTCCGTCACATGGGTCTATTTCCAGAGTACTGAGTCCGCGGAAACTCTCCGCGGGCTCTCACTCGTCAACTTTGGCAGTCCGCGGGGCCTTCGCCCCTTGGTTTGTCAGGTATCTAGTCAGAGTCCGCTTCCGCGGACTCGACAATATCACTCCGCGGACTGGTCAGTCCAGTGCTTTCGGACACTACTAGTCCACAACTGTTCGTCTTAGGCTTTTAATGTTTAATCTCCTTGGTATGGCATCTAGCCAACAGGGCAAGCCATATCCCGGAAATACAGGAATAACTCTGTCTGTGCACGTATACGCTCCGCGGAGCGCTATGCTGACCCTCAATGGTAAAAGGACCGAGCCTTAGCGCGTCCACGACTGGATACATGCTCTGGCATCATCAATACACAGCTAGCAGCTCGGAGCTCACTCTAACTCTAATTGTATATCACCGGGCAGGGGCCCCGCGGAGTCGTAATACACCGCTAAAAGAACGAATATACGGCTGGTTGTATCCAGGCCGTATCACTGCTCCTAGTTGCGGTGCAAGAGCAGGAGAGACGATGGTGTGCGCTGTCAGGTTGAAGCACTCGTCGTGCATGATGATCAGGTAACATAGATTCTTCGTTTACGCCTTTCCGTCGAAAAATAACGTTGGTTTGGTCTGACACCGTCAGCTAGGGTTGTATTTGCCTTGTCGTAAAGCTGTCCTCATTCTCGTGCTGCTACGTGAGTCTGCAGTTCCCGACCTACCAATTCCGACGGTCGCTGATATAATCCGGGTCCCAATGTCGCAGTGTATGAAATCAATGCCTTGCATATTCAGGCCATGAGTTCTTCTCGGACCGCCCGACCACTGCTACAATTTCTTCCCGCAAATATAGCACTCGAATCAATGCTGATGAATTATGCTTTAAATTACACAGGTAGTCGGGATGATAAGCATGAAGTGGTGTCGGGGTTCAGCAGAAAGTTACTTCGATTGAGGTCTGTGGTGAATGTGAGCACCGGCTGTACAAAAAATGGAGCGGGAAATACTTTGGTGCCTTGCATTGAACCCGCGTAAACGTGTCATCAGGCTTGTGGAAGGCCGTATTGCAGTTCGCGTCCCCGCCTATGAACCGTCAATTGTGGTTTCCGAAGGGCTGGAAAATCGAGACGCACACACTGCCCCTCCGCTGCATCCACTCGTGTACCTGGGATCTCGCCAAAAACATGGGGAGTCCAGTTTTGACAGAATAGGCGAGACTGGAGAGGGCTATGTTAGATTGGTTCGACCAACACGAAATAATCCTCACGGCGGAATGAGGAACAGATTCACGCTGGAACTGTCGAATCCTTCAATGACATTTCTAGTACGGTGCATTGTTCACCGTTGAGTCCGCACTTTGTTCCTGGTGGACCGAAATCAGAGTCAACGGCAGGAGGATAAAAACGGAGGCGGGAAACCTTGTTGGAGATACGCCCGCGCATTCTCCAGGGAGATAAGCAAGTATCGGGACGAATGGTGCGAGATGACGCACTGCAAATGGTCTTTGAACAGTGTGGGGCTCCCCGTGTGACAGAACGGAGATCCCGACAATTAGTTGAGGCTGTGGACGAGCTCGTAAATGATTCCTTGGCAGGCTGATGGAGTACCAACCACAGAACCGCCACCACAACTGTATCATGCACTGAATTAGGCGCACCATTGACCTCATCATGAGGAATCACAGATGCACTTGTTTTGGAATATAATCGTATGAGTTTCCGCCTTCACCGCCGAAATGCCCGCCAGAAGGGTCAAAAAAGCGGATACGAGCAAAGCTTGAAGCATTTTCAATGAGATAGTTCGTGCAGCTCGTGAGGTCGTAAGGTCGTGAAAGAGGTTGGGCAGCCTGCTGTGACCCTCGCTGTGAAGATTCAGAGCATTTATACAACAGAATGGGATTAACTCAACGGCGACTGAACGGAGAGCAACACAGTCACACAGGGATCCGAGTGGGAGTTTCACAGAATCCGTCCAGCAGAAACCAAACTAAATGCTAGTAAGCATCGGCTCCTGGTCGCTCGCTGCCCCATGACTTGCGATATGAATGGGCCAGGGAGCAGATCGCTCACTTAGCTTATGTCGCGTCCCTGGAGTTCCCGGTCAACGGAAATCTCAAGCGTGGCCCTTATTTCTGTGTCAACACGGCGTAGACTTCGAATATTGACAAATTCGTGAATCACTTTGTCCAGACTCCAAGTCTCCAAAGCGATTCACTGCGTCGTCAGAGCTAAATTTCATGAAGAGAAATGAATGGGTACTTCTCCGAGCCATGTGAACTTGAGATTTGATCCGTTGAGGTCCTGAGTCATGACGGCGAGAGACAAGGAGTTCCGAGACAAGCCTGACGTGAGGCACGAATGGCTTAGGCTTGTCAGAGGATAAGCAAAGGGAGGCGTGAATCGTGGGAGTGGTATGTGCCGGTGTGCACCACCGTGGGAAGTAAAGTCACTTCATTTGATTGATCGATCACTATTGTCGTGATTTAGTCACTCCATTTGAGCTTTTCTCGGGCAGTCCTAAGGAAATCACCTCATATGAGGTCTTCTCTTATAATCCTCCTCTGCACCTTCCCAAGCCGTTGTTGACGCGTTCTACCATCATTTCTCGGTGCCGACGGGGGCTGTGCTCGACATCAGACATCCCGCGATCGTGCGAATCCAGGCGGTAGTGGGGATTTATTACAAAAACACCAGGAGATGAGAGGGGGGCCTTTATTTAAATATGGTGGGTGGGTCAGAGACGCTCATATTATAAAACATTAGAGGAAGCTCACATTTTGCCTAATGTGGACGCCCTCCGCACAGCGGCGTCGTGGGCTGTCTCGCATCAAGGCGGGAGCACTGCCACGCACCGTCGCCGTGCCCCGCTAAAAAATGTGTCCGCCCCTGGCACAATGGTGCACTACAATGCTCGTGTAAGTGCACCAGCTAATGAAACACCTTTCTTAGACCTTACCATTGAAAGGTTTTGGCGTAACGGCCGCATCTGCACTCTGGGGGTGCAATGCGGTCGTTGTCGTTTGCCTGGCGCATTGGGAGTGCATACAGTTTGCCTTTGTTTATCCATGCTAGGCAATTGCCTAATTGGGTGTGCCACCTGGCAGCCACCACCGCCGCCTGCCACCCCACCCACCGCTGCCCTCGCTGCCCTTGCTGCTGCCCTTGCTCCTGCCATCGCCCTCAATTTTCTTCTGCCGCCTCCTCATTGCGCCCCGCATCAGTTTAGCGCCTGCCCGCCCTGCTGCCGTTCCCACCGCCCGTACCTGCCCCAGCACGGCGCCTTGGCCAGGGGGGGGATGGGTACACACCCCAATGTTGTTCTGTGCCCCCACTGGCCCCGTACGCCCCCTCCTCATTGCGCCCCTCGCCCGTTTAGCACCCCTGCCGCATTTAGGCGCCCAGCTAGCACCCACTTGCCACCATTCGTTGCACCTTATATTTTTACTTCCTTTACTCGCTGTCATAGAACTAGGCCAATATCAGTATTTTTACCCCTCCTTATCAAAGGGGAAAAAAAAAGTCCTTTGAAAGTTACATAATGCCTGAAACAGAGTCGAACTGGATACATCTTGGATAAAGTGCTTTCGGAAGGGTGACTATAACCAAGTGCCTAACCACTAGGCTATCCAGGCAGTCATCACAAAGGTCAAAAAAAAAACACTAAAAACTGAGTGTTAATCTGACTTGAATCGATCACCGAGGTTTTTTTCCCCTAAGTCCAAATGAGAAAAATAATATTGAAAGAACTAAGTTCCACTACTTGTATAATAAGCCCTGGCCCACCCGGGTCTGAATATTCAACTCCTTTTCTGCCTGTGTACGGACTGTTAGAAGACTCAGCAAAAGAGCGGCAAGGAACGACTTGCTTCTTTTTCAATGGGCCCGTGTTTTCGTCGTTGGCAGGCACAACGCTTTTCGCCATTCAGCTTCTTGAGGATCTCTGCATCTTTGGCCGTGGACGATGATGTCCGCCTTGGTCATCTTGGCCCCCCTCGCAGACAACGGGATGGGCATCTCCCGACTCGCTGCCGGCTTCCTGATCCATTTTTGTCCAGCCGGCAGCTCCAACGACGGCGGCGCGAGTGGTCGACCCTTGAGGATGAAGGGGTCGCTCAGTCCGTCAGGGTTATGGCAGAGCTGCTGCTCCCACTTCGCCTGGTGATCGGCGTCCCACTCCTCTCTCACCCGTGTTGTGATCGCCTCATTCTCTGCCCTCGATAGCTGATGGGGTAGTGGGGCATTGAGGGCTAGAGGGATGACAGCGCCGTTGTCGTCGTATGTCTGTCAGAAGACCCAATTCGAGCGTGTGCTGGGGCGCGCGCCCCCTCCTCCACCTCCACCTTCACCTTCGCCCCTGCCTCCGCCTCTCTCGCGTCTGCTTCCACCTGCGCCTCCTCGCCCATGCCCGTGCCTGCGGCCTCCAGCCCCGCCTCCTCGCCCCCGGCCTGCCCCTGGGGCTTTCTCGGGGAGGGGTGGCTTGACATCGGCCGAGACTGGGGGAACATGTCCACGGACAGCACCGCAGATGGCGGTGGGGGTAGCACAACAGGTGCGACACCTCCCTCTCCATCTCCGGTCAGCACACGGTGATGACATGGCGGGGTCCCTGTTGTCAAGGGGATTGGACTTGCTCCCGCAGTAGATGAGGGTGCCAGCGGCCGTGGCTGAGTCTGGATGGCAGAGGGAGTGGTACGCGAGCTGGCAGAGGATGGTGTCGTTCCAGTAGTTGAGGATGGCGGCGGCGGCGGCGGAGTCTCGGTCAAGCCAGGTATGGGTGTCGCTCTGCATGGTGTCTGTACAGCAGGTGGGGCGGCAGGGGACGCTGTCGAGTCAGCAGCCGGCGTCGTTCTCAGCAGTGTCTGCCCAGAGACAGGGGGCAACGCTGCCGTTGTGGGGGACATCATCCGAGTTGGTGTTGTCGCCGTACTTTGTAGCATATTTGTCGTCGACCGCTGAATGCCATTCATTTGCCGTATGAGGTGCGCGAAACTTGAGAGGCCTGATGCAGTTCCAAAGCTGGAGTTTGTAGCCATCGACAGAGATGCGGGTGTCATAGAGGCTGAAGCAGGGGCAGCCGTGGCTGACTCGTAGATGAAGGGAGGATATCCCTCTGGGAGCGTAGTGGAGGCAGTCGGAACAAGCCCCTCCAAAATTGGGGGCATCTCAGCCTCCAGTTGCCCAACCCCAGCACCCTTGTATGCCGGTCGTGGGAGCGGACAGACAGGAGGTGCTGCTAGTGGTGCAGCTGCCTGCACGTCTCCACCAGCCAGCAGTGTGGGATCGATCAGCAGCTCGAGATCGTGCTCAGGAGGAAAGGTGATGAGGCCCCCCATCGTCAAACTCCACGGGGTCGGGCAATACTGCATCAGGGCTTGGCGGTGCAGGCGGAGGCAAGGGAACTTGATTCAACATCTTCTTTCTTGGAGCCATCTTCTTCGTGGCGCCATTGCCCTTGGCCACTTTTGTCTGCAGCGCAGGGCTAGTCGGAGGCACCTTCGTTGGCACAGTGTTTGCAGCAGCTTTAGGCACCAATGCAGGTCCCTTCCGTACTTCTCTGCCTGCAAAAGAGGTTAGTAATTGCATCTATGCACGAGATTGGGCCCACTCACTGAAACATCGTCCCAGCCACTGACCTGTCACAGCCACAACAAGATTGTCCCAATCCCGGATAGATTGAGTGAGCGATAAACCAGCAGAGGATTCGCCAGAGCAATAGCTGAGGAGGAGATCGAAGTCAGGCACTGGTTTATCACCTGATACAAATCAAAACGCGCTCACGCTTTGGTTTGGATCTTCCCACCCTCTTTCGGCACTGGGCCCCTGAACAAGCTCACCCCAACTCAGCCCATCATATGCTCAAGCCCAGCGTGGAATTCAGCTACAATGCTCTCCAGCTGATCCAGCCCGCTGTGGAGTAAAACATTGTCAAAAAAAAAACACCTTCTGCAAACTGTTCTGCTTACGCTTGTAACTCTTCGGGCGTCTTCTCATCCGATCCCTTGCTCAACGCATCCGTCTGCGGCCGAACTGCTGCCCCCTGCTTGTGGTAGATCTTGGCGACAGCTTCCTTCTCCTCCTTGTCCTCGCCATCCAACATCTTTTGCGCAATTGCTCGCCGCAAGCGCATTGAACTCACCTGCTTCTGGCGGGTGGTGGACTTCGTGCCTGCCTTGCTATTACCTCCCGCAGTGGCGCCTGCCTTCCCCGCCCCCACCCCCTTCGCCTTGAACCGCCCAGCACTCTCAGCACGCTTGACGACGTGTCGCCCAACTTCGCTTCAGTTCCACTGCTCCTCAAGTTGCTGCTGTTGCTGGTGCTCGAGTCGCTGCTGCTGCTGTTGCTGTCACTATCACTGCTGTCAGTGGTGGTGCTGTTGGTTGTGCTGCTGTCGCTGCTGTTGGTATCAGCGCTGTTGTCGCCAATAATCTCCAGTTTGACGAGCTCGGCCTTGACTTTAGCGTTGACCTCAGCCTTGTGGCACTTTTGGTAGATCTCCACTTCTTGCAACCATCGAGACCTCTTGCTGATGTCTTTGACAGGCCTGACGCCATGTCTCTGGCATGTGAAGACCCCTTGCCAACGCCGCTCTCAGCTTTCTTGATCTTCTGGTTCCGGTTGTTAAACCAGGCGTGCAGTTGCTTGAAATATGCGTGTAAGTGCCATTTTACGTGTCAAACGGTATTGCTCACCTCCTTGCGCTTCTTTGTTGCAACACCTAACCGGACTGTATCCTCCATCGACATCGCTGGCTCTCCATCCGGGTCATCAGGGTCTGGCTGGGCCAGCTGGATGCCCAGTGCTTCCTCCTCTGGCCACGTCTGAAACCACCCTTTTTCCATGTCCGTCCAAAACTTTCCGAGTCTGTTGCGACGCCGCTTTGTGTCGAAGTCGTCATACAGGCCCTCCATATATTTGGTTTGCTCTGGTGTCAGCTTCGTCTTTCGTCCACGTTGTTTTTCCCCGGCTGAGGCCATTTCGCAGGTAGACAAGATAGAACGGTCAGGAACAAATCACAGATGGAGGCAACGGTCAGGAACAATTTGTTCCTCCAGCTAGCGTTGCGCGCGGCCTGCCGCCTGTTTTTTCGGCAATCCCTTCTTAACGCGGACACTGATGCCAGGTAATTATTTTTATATTCCTTTATCGCACTTTTCACACTGAAACTAGTCCCTTTTAGGTTCCTGGATCTCGCTTATCTCGACAATCACGAATCTCAACCTAATCCAGCCAGACCGGTCGAAACTAGATCCACCGCGTGCTTCTCATGCACCTGACCCTTTAGCCGACCCACCACTTATACCCGTGCTTTCCCGAGACGATCCAAAAACCCCCCATCATGACCAACACTGCACAGTCGACCACCATCTCTAGCCCTGCAGCCACAGAGCTAGAGGTGCTGGTCGCCCTCATCGGTCGTCTCACCATTGCATCCAGTGAGGCCACTCGCCTTGCCGCTGAGGTCCAAGGTCAATTCCCCTTCCTCATTAGTCATTATAGGATTTTTTCGCTTATCAATGTCCTTGCAGCCAAACTTCCTGCCGCACTCGCGCTCCACACCGCCGGTAGCATGACTTGGGTCAGCGCCACACCCAAGACGCCTGCCGAGCTGGAGAGCGACTGTCCTGAAGGCTCCGGTGAGGTCTGGTACGTCGTGATCAGAGGCCGTGAACCAGGCATGTATCGTACCACATAAGTCCTGCCTTCCCACTTCCACGAGCACTAGGGAAGGACACGGGTACGGGTCAACCCGCCAGGTTTTCGGGTCAGGTCGGCCCGGGTACGGGTACGGGTTCCAATTTTAGTGGACCCAAAACCCGCGGGTACACTGCGGGTCTGCGAACATTGACTTTTTTATTGAATTTAACTCATTTCGAGGCTATTGAACATGGCTACCAGCCATCAACGGTGCTTGCAAGCTTTTGTTAAGCACCTATCGCATTTAAACACACCAATCAGTGAACGAATTTCATGTTTTGAAGGTGTTGAACCTTCTCAGCAGTCTTCGGCAAGCATGATCCGATCAATTCAGACAACCCGTGAGCAATCCGTGAACCCGCGGGTTCGGGTTCGGTTTTCCGGGTTCGGGTCCGGGTTGACTGATTTATACCCGAACCCGTACCCGTGTCCATCCCTAACGAGCACCACTAACCTCCTTGCAGTGACAAAGCAGTGGCCTTGACAAGCGGTGTTCCTCACCAGTTCCACTGCAAGAAGACCAGTCGCCACGAGGCCCTGCTCTTTTACCACGACAACCATCGTGCGGCCAGCGCTGCCGATGCCGCCGCCACCATCGCCACCACCACTAACGCCGGTGGCTCCAATGCCGCCGCTGTTGCTGCCGGTATCAACCTTGGCGTGCAGAAGTGGGTTGAGATGCCCCAGGGCACTGTAGGATAGCTGTTCGTCAAGCCTCAGTCGTTCTGTTCGTGTCTGTAGCCTCTGTAGTTGTGCCTGCGCAATCAATTCGCTCCATGATGTCTCTTTTTTTTTCTCGTCAAAATTTACAAGCCCCCCGGGCGCCATCTTATCAGACCAATTCAAAACATCAAAATCTAAGGAAGCACGCATATAATATCAATCCGACACAAGGGCGCCACATGAATTTCAGAAAGACATGCTACTTCTCCACCGC